GCGGAATATGACTGCTGATGGACATGCCAAAGGCAGTATTCAACGGGACTTTCTATTAGAAGTAATGGCGGGGACGCAATCCTTTAAGCACGAGTTGAAGACTTGCCCTCCTTACAGGGCTCCGACTTCGAAGGTTGTGCCTGGCTCATGACGGGCCGGCGGAACGTTTTTATTCGGCGTGGAACTATGCGGTGAGATAAGTTTATTTTTGGTTTTTGCAGGTCATAGTAGATTATTCTGCGCCGTTTGCGCTTTTGGGTCCTTGCCTCGCGGCTAGACCCCGCAGGGCTGCCCATGCTCTTACTGTGCGGCTCGATCCTGGCTCGATGCCAGATCGCGCATGCCCCTTCTTCGCAGGTCCAAGTCTGGCGCTCGCTGGCTGGACTTGGCTCGCCCTTGTACGAGTCTTTGCGCGCTGTTCTCCGCAATATGTAGCCTGAATCTAACGGCTCGCTCTGCTCGTCTCTTCCCCCCTCGATTCTGAAATAAGGGGCTGTGTAGCGAGCATAGCGAGCGTGCCGTCGTCGTCTGGCTCAAGACGCCAGCGCCTTATTGGCTAGATTGACTGTGGGCGCAGCAATCTGTCATCGTACATCAAACAAGACCCGATCAGTCGTCTGGATGGTACACCATCTCTTGTCTACTTTCCAGTCTGTTATCGCATGGTCCTTCTTACTGCACGCGGCAGCTGTGCTGGATGGGGTGGTCAACAGAGACCTTTCTCGCCCCCGCGCAGGCACTTCTGGGCCAGCACTACCTCCAGCGACACCAGAGCGATGATGAGGGAGTGAAGGAAAGGGGGCGGGACGCCGCGCGATGAGTGGAGGGGAGGGGGTGGGAGGATTGGTACTCGCGGGTGAAACGAGGGTGTCCTGTTTCGACGGCGCGTGCAGGGGCTGGGGCAAGGGAGGTGGCCGTCTGAGAAGGCACAGGGCTTCTCAGAGGAGGTCGGTCGCTCTAAGGCCACGCGCCCCTGGAATATCCGGATCTCGGAAGATCGCCGGAACATTCCAGATCCTGACCCTGGCTTCGTTCCCGCCTCCTCATTATACCCCTCCGCCCTCCGCGGTTCAGAATGGCCTGATTAAAGCTCAAGAGGCCAACAAGGCGCCCCAAGAGTGCCGCCAAACGTACCTCCAAGAAAACATCCTGCCGCCCAAATTATGTTGTTTATTTGTTCCGTGACGTTCGAGTTTCCGCTTTCCCTGGCGGAGGAGGAGGAAGAGGAGGAGGAGGAGGAAGAGGAGGAGGAGGAGGAGGAGGAGGAGGAGGAGGAAGAACAGGAGGAGGAGGAGGATGAGGATGAGGATGAGGATGAGGATGATGAGGATGAGGATGAGGATGAGGATGGATGATGATGATGATGATGATGATGATGATGATGATGATGATGATGATGATGATGATGATGATGATGATGATGATGATGATGATGATTATGATGATGATGATGATGATGATGAATGATGATGAGATGATGATGATGATGATGATGATGATGATGATGATGATGATGATGATGATGATGATGATGATGATGATGATGATGATGAAGGAGGAGGAGGAGGAGGAGGAGGAGGAGGAGGGAAGAGAAGAGGGAGGATCAGGAGGAAGAGGAGGAGGAGGAATAGGAGAAGGCGGAGGAGGAGGAAGAGGAGGATTTGGAGGGATGGGGAGAGGAGGAGAGGAGGAGGAGGAGGAGGAAGAAGAGGAGGGGAGGAGGAGGAGCAGGAGGTGGAGGAAAATGAGGAGGAGGAGCAGGAGGAGGAGGAGGAGGAGGAGGAGGAGGAGGAGGAGGAGGAGGGAGGAGAAGGACGAGGGAGGAGGATGAGGAAGGGTAGAATGGTAGAATGGATCGGGCTACGAGCGCACAGCGAGAGCGAAAGCGAGAGCGACAGGAGATGGAGGAGGAGGAGGAAGATCAGGAGGATGAGGAGGACAAGGAGGAAGCGGAGTAAGAAGAAGTCGTCGCGCTCCTTCTATGGTCAGTTCTGGCCCACCACGCCTAGGCGCGACGCGCCATCCATGTCCAAGTCCCCAAGCGTCAACGTCCCGATCCTTTCCCGACCTCCCGCCCCACGGATCGGAACCGCATGCTATCCATTCGCAAGGCACAGCATGTCGCCAGGGCCGCCGCCACACGCTCAGAAAACGCCCAGGGAACGGGGCATTACAAGTGAGCGGCGAAGAAATCGGGATCGACCCTTCCTGAGCCCAGGAGCTGTGTATACGCCCTCCTGGCCAAGCCAGGAGGTCGTGGCGTATACACTGCTATTGGGCTCAGGCTGGCCATGGAGCAGTGGATGTGGATAGACTTCGTCGCCCTACTTGATGAGCGCAGGGGGCTTCCCACCCCCAGTGGCTTGGACGTGCTGGCGCGGCCACCTCTGCTGGGGCGGGGGCCGCGAACAAAGGCTGCCCCGGCCTCTGGGATTGCCCGGCCCGGCCCGGCATGGCCCGCCGCCGCCTCGGGGGTGGGCCCGGGCGGGCTCGTCAAGGAGCCCGCCCCCCCCCCCAAGGCGGCGGCGGGCTTCTCGACGAGCGCGCGGCCCTGCGCGCTCCGCGAGGTGCCGCGAGGGCGCGGAGGCGCCGCCTCGCCGACGCTGCAGGCGAGGCCGCCGCCGCGCCAGCGCGCGGCAGGCGAGGCCGCCCTGGCGGCCCGCGCGCGGCATCGCCTGGCCGGTCTCTGGCGCCGCGCCCCGCGCGGGGCAGCCTGTGCGCTTCTGGCGCCGCGCCTGGCCTCAGAGGAGGAAAAGGTACCGATACCTCTGCCCTTCTCTCGATTTCCCCCTTTTGGGCCTCCTCGGAGGCCCTCGTCGCCACCTCTGCATTCGCCTCGGAATCCCTGTCAGAAAGCACCGCAGGAGAGGTCGAGGGAGTGGCGGTATGGGTACCTGTTGGTTTCCCCATGGCCTCCGGAGCTGGGGCGTCGCATGGCTGGCCTCTGGCGCCGTGCCACTGGCGCCGCGCCCCGCGCGCCGCGCGGGCCAGCTCGCAGCTGTCTGCTCTCCTGCTGGCCAGTCGCCGCCCTGGGGGTGACGCTCGGGAGCCTTGAGACGGGGGTCAATGCAGACGGGGGTCAGCCAGAGCGCCAGATCTTGCGGGATCCTGCAGAGCCAGGGCTGCAAGGCCTGACTGATCCAGGACTGGGATTGACCCGCGTCAGACGATCCCCCGGACGCTGGGGATCTGCCGCAGCAGGGGCGGATCGGTCGCCGCCGCAGGAGCGACGGGGGGAGCCTGCTCCTCAGCAGGGCGGCTCGGTGGTCCGCGGGGCGGTCGAAGCGATCGAGTGGGAGGCCGCCTCCCTGCCCAGGGTTCTCCCCTCGGGGTGTTCCAGCTTTGACTTCGGAGCCGGACACGCGGTACTCATAACATCGACGCCGACGTTGACGTCGTTCGGAGAGTCAGGGATGACAGGTAGGCCTAGGTGGGCAGGCAGGCAGGAGGAAAGGAGGAGAGGAGAAAAGGATCCCCATGTAATACGATGACGCGACGATGAAAGAGGACCTGTTCCACAGCAGGACGGATCGCCACTTTCGGCCGTGCGGGTGACGCTGGGATTTACTCCACAGCAGGCCGGACCGCCATCTTAGCGGTGATGGGACTTCCTCCTCAGCAGGGCAGCTCTGTGGGCCACAGGGCTGACAGCCGTCATTCTACCCTTACTTCCCTTCAGGTGGGTGCTGGAGTCGCGGCTATAACCGCCCAGACAACGCAGAGCACGACGTCAGCGACGACGTTGGTAGCGGAGGAGGACTAGGACGAGGATGATGATGTTGATGAAGCTGATGATGATGATGATGATGATGATGATGATGATGATGATGATGATGATGATGATGATGCTGATTCAGATGACGATGACGACGACGATGATGATGATGTTGATGCTGATGATGATACTGTTGCTGCTGATGATGATGCTTAGGGTGATGATGACGAGGAGGATGAAGATAACGGATGCTGTTGTTGATGGTGACGTTGATGATGCTTTTGATGAGTATGCTGATGATGTTGTTGATGATGTTGTGACGATGATAAGGATGCTGATGCTGCTGATGATGATGGTGATTGTGGTGGTTGTGATGGTGATGGTGGTTGTGATGATGCTGATGCCGTTGATGTTGATGCTATTGATGCTGATGGGGATGACGATGCTGCTGCTGATGATGACGATGGTGATCATGCTGCTTCTGATGGTGATGCTGATAATGATAATGATGCTGATGATGATGGTACTGATGATGTTGATGATGATGGTGGTGGTGATGACGATGGTGATATTGATGCTGCTGTTGTCGCTGCTGCTGCAGATGATAATGATAATGATGCTGATGATGCTGATGATGATGCTGCTGATGCGGATGATGCTGATGTTGCTGCTGCTGCTGATGATGATGATGATCATACTTTCCCTGCTGCTGCTGCTGATGATGGTGATGCTGATGCCGACGATGTTGCTGCTGCTGCTGCTGATGATGATGATGATGATGATGATGATGATGATGATGATGGCGCTGATGATGTTGTCTTTAATGATGCTGCTGCTGATGATGCTGATGATGCTGATGCTGCTGCTGCTGCTGCTGCTGATGATGATGATGATGATGATGCTGATGCTGCTGCTGCTGGTGATGATGATGATGATGATGGTGATGATGATGATGATGATGATGATGATGATGATGATCATGATGATGATGATGATGATGACGATGATGATGATGATGATGATGATGATGATGATGATGATGATGATGATGATGCTGCTGCTGCTGCTGCTGATGATGATGATGATGATGATGATGATGATGATGATGATGATGATGCGCATGGTTAGGCTAACTATTGTGTAGGTGAGGAGGACGCTGACGACCACGAGGCGGAGGAGGCGAGGAGGAGGAGGATGAGGAGGTGAAGGAGGAGGAGGAGGAGGAGGAGGAGGAGGCAGGGCCGCCGTTCCTCCTCTATATTTCTTCTCACTCTCTGTCTCGCAGGACTCGCTGACAGTGCTCCACGTCCTGCTCGGCCTGCAGGCCGCGCCCGGTCGCGCCCCCGCGGCCAGCGTGCGAGGGCGGGGGAGGAGGAGGAGGAGGAGGAGGAGGAGGAGGAGGAGGAGGAGGAGGAGGAGGAGGAGGAGGAGGAGGAGGGGATGGGGGATTGGGAGGGGGCGGAGGAGGAGAACACCCGCGATATGACTGCGGACGGTCACACCAAGGGGAGCATCGACAGAGAGATGCTCCTACAGGTCATGGGAGGTACACAATCCTTCAAACATGACTTGAAGAGTCATACCCCCTATCGGGCTGGCCAGACATCTCGTTCTGTAGCCGCCTGAGGAGTGTCCGTATGCACAGAATAGTGCACGCAAGGCAACTTGCGTGCGGGTCCACCTTCCTTACGGCCCCGCCCTCTTGCTGCTCTTTTTGTAAATAGTCGCTGCTGTACCTGCCGTATAGAGGCGGCGGATTCACGCCTCGTCTCCCTCGTCCCCCCGACTCTAAAATGAGCTGGGCGTTGCATGTGAGTGGGAACGAGCGTGCATCCGCGGCTGCTTGGCTCAAAGCGGCCGGCCGCCCAGATTTGACTAGACCTCAGCGCGAGGTGTTCCATTTGCCATCGATACCAAAACTGCTTGAGATTGCTCGCCCCCTCCTGCTGGGACTATCGTTCCTACGGCACAACAGCGCGGGAGCTGGGCTTCGCCTGAGGCGAAGCTGCTGGTTGGGCCTCCCAACCCCTTTCAAACTGCTGGGCCGCCTCTGAAGCCATTCGGGGCGAACAATTTTGGGCCGTCTTGGAGGCCATCTTGAACGTCGTGGGGGCCTTTGGGGCCGTCTTAAAGCCCGTTTGGGGCCGTCTTGGAGGCTTCTTGGGGTGACATGCGGTCATCTTGGAGGCCTTTGACGCCATCGTGGGGCGATCTTGTGGGCCTCTTGGGCCGTTTTGGGTTATCGGAAGGTTGAAGAGAATCAGATGTCCAAATCTTTCATGCGCCGGAAAAAAAAACCAATGGTTTTGGCCTCTTCGGGCCCTCCTGGATGACCTCTTGGAGGCCACTTGGGCCGTCTTGGAGGCCTCTTGGGGGCCTCTTTGAGCCATCTTGGGCCGTCTGGGTGGCTTCTTGGTCGGGCTTAGAGGCATTTTGGGACCCTCTTGGGCCGTCTCTGAAGCCATCATGGATCATTTTGGGCTAACTTGGTGACCATGTTGGGCCATCTTGGCCGTTTTGGAGGCCATCGAAGCTGTCTTGGAAACGTTGGTTGCGCAGCGGCGGGGCCTTCGGGTGGCTGGCGGCATGGACCGAAGCCCCAGGAGGAGTTCCTTTGGAAAAGAACCCGAACCAAACCGTAGGATCAAGCACGCTAGGCATCTTTGTGATAAATCAACGGGGGCTGCGGATCCAGTGGCCCACGGCTCATCTTGGTATGGTACTGTTGAGGGCTTTCTGGAAACCCTCTTGGAGTTCTCTCCAGGCTTTCTTGGAGGCTTCTTGGAGCTCTCTCCGGGCTCTCTGAGGGTCCCAAGAGGCTTGAAGAGGGCCTCACAGGGCATCAAGAGGCTCTAAAACTCTTAAAAGGGCCCTGTGGGCTCCCGAAACGAAACAGCCCGCAACAGTGTCATACCACAGGTTCCCGGTATGATACTGTTGAGGGCTTGCTCGTAATTCTAAGGGGCCCCACTGGGGGCTATCTTAGGGCGCTCGGGCGATTTCAGGCCCCTCTTGGATTATCTATTGGCCTGTGGCCCATCCCGCCAGCGTGCCTGGATAGTGGCTCAGAATCCTCATTGATGATTCTTGGGATCTCTTCGGAGGGCTCTCGGAGGCCTTTGAAGGCAGTTTTGAAGCCGCTTGGGTGCCTGTTGGAAGCCTCTTGGGAGCATATTGGGGCCTCCTGGGGGCCTCTTGGGGGCCTCTTGGGGCCTCTTGGGCGTCTCTTGGGAGCCTCTTGGGGCCTCCCGGGAGCCTCCTGAGGTGGTGAGCTCGAAATGTCGGTTCGTGTTCGCCCTCGGGGGCCCCTCTTGGGGCGTTCTTGGGGCCGTCTTGGAAGCATCTTGGAGGCCTCTTGGGCCGTCTTGGAGGCCTTTTGGGCCGTCTTGGCGCCCTCTTGACGGCCTCGTAGGCTGTGTTGGGGCGCTATTTTGGGCCTCTTGGGCCGTCTTCGAGCGTCAGGAAGCCGAACGGATATGAACGCTAACATCTGTCAGAAACCAATGGACTTTTAATTAATTTTGCCTCTTGGGGCCCTCTTGGGAGTGCTCTTGGAGGCTTCTTGGGGCGTCTTGGAGGCGTCTTGGGCCGTCTGGAGGCCATCCTGGGCGTCTTGGAAAAATCTTTCGGCGGCTGGGCCCTGTTGGGCCCCTCTTGGAGCATCCTGGACCTGATTTGCCGAAGGAGGGCCAAATTTGCTCGAAGGCGGCCCGACAAGAAGAGCCACACTTGCTCGAAGGCGGCCAAATTTGCTCGAAGGGGGTGCCGTATTCGGACACGGGGCCCCCTCCCCCCCCCCCCCGGGACCCCTCCCCGGGACCTCCCACAGGACCCCCGGCCTCCTGGTGGGGATGGCATCACAGGGAAGGGCCGGGAAGGGGCTTCCCTTCGACTCGATTGCGACTTCGACTGCGACCTGGCTCGATTCACCTCGAGTCGACGAGCTAGGCGCGCCATATGCAAAGAGGATCTCGTGAGAGTCTCCGGGAATGAACTAGCAAATCGAGAAAAATATCGTGTCTTAGGAGCACCCCTTCACGCACGCCGACAGGGTCGGCGGAAGACGGGAAGCGCGTACAAGGAACGAGGAACGTTGACCGTTTTTCTCAAAACTTGCACTCAGAGCAAGTTTGTTTGTTTGTTTGTTTGTTTGTCACACGGGTCAAGGCACTGAGACAGTATCGATCTGGTCACCGTTCCTAGAGTTGTTGAGGAGAGAGTCGCCGCCGCCACCGCAGCCGCAACCGACGCCGCTGTTGTCTCGAAGAAGACACTAGCTGCATAAGCAGAAGCTTTCGGAGGTCCGTGCGGATTTCTCGTGTCGGCGCTAAATCCCTGGGGGCGCCAGAGGCGCCGTCAGGGGGGTTCAGCGCTGGTCATAACATTCTGCGCGGACCTCCGAAAGTCTATGCCTGTGTAGTTTTTTCTTCCTCTATCGTCGTCGACGCCCTCCTCCCGAGTCGTCGTCGTCGTCGTCGTCGTCGTCGTCGTCGTCGTCGTCGTTGTTGCCGCTGTCATAGCCACCGTTGTGTTGTGGTCGTCGTTGTGGTCGTCGTCGTCGTCGTCGTCTTCGCGTCGTCGTCGTCGTTGTGGTGGTCGTCGTCGTCGTCGTCGTCGTCGTCGTCGCCCCCCCTGCCCCTCCACCAGAAGAGCGCCCCCGTCCGCTTCGACGTCGCGGCTGCCAACGTCAACCCGGAGACCCCAGAGTGCGCCGGCCTCTCGCCGGCCTCAGCTCCTCCTCGGGCCCTTCCTCGTCCGCCTTCCTCCCTGTGGTGGTGGTGGTGGTCGTCGTCGTCGTTGTTGTCGTCTTGGTTGTCGTCGTCGTCTTGGTTCTCGTCGTCGTCGTCGTCTTGGTCGTCGTCGTCGTCGTCGTCGTCGTCGTGGTCGTGGTCGTCGTCGTCGTCGTCATCGTCGTCGTGGTCGTTGTCGTCGTAGTCGTAGTCGTCGTCGTCGTCGTCGTCGTCGTCGTCGTCGTCGTCGTCGTCGTCGTCGTCGTCGTCGGCGGCATCCTCCCCGTCGTCCTCCTCATCCACCCGCCCACCGACAGAGTCACTGCGCGAGCCAAGTCATCCCGCCACCCTGACCCTCCACCCGCCGTCTGTCATCCTCCATCCCAGCCCCCTGCTCCTCCTCTCGTTCTGGTGTGCAGGGGTCCTCGGATGACTGTTGAGCGGATCTTTCTTGGTGAGAGATTTCTTTCTCGTGTAGGATGGAGGCTCTGTCCCCTCGGGCTGTCCGTTCGTTATTTCTCGCCGTATCTTTCTTTCCCCTTTCTTTTTCCCAGATGTCCAAGGGTACGTTTTTTTTTCAAATCTGGGCGAAGCTTTTCATTTGCTCCGCCGTATCTGTTCTGTCCATGACTTCTCTTGCTTCGGTCTCGAGGGCGACCGCTTGTGCACCGCTGTTTTGGCTCTGTAGTTCGACGGCCAGCCCGCGCGCGGGCTGGATGTGGAACCGGCTGCTGGACGTGGGTACCTGGCGTCGGATACATCGGCAGGTGCCCGCCCGCCGCAGCCGGCGTGCCCTTGCACGTCTTCTGGCGCATGGACCAGTTGGGCGCCGACCACCTCACGTTGCGCTGGATCAAGGCCCACACCAGCTGGCCAGAAGCGGTCCGCCGCGGGATGGCGCGGTTCGAGTACTGGGGCAACCGCGAGGCCGACCGCTGCGCGAAACTCGGGGCGAGGCGCCACCCGCAGCTGAACATGGAGATGCTGGAGCGGAGGTGGGAGACGTCTAAGGCTGCCGCCGTTCTGCTCCTGCGCCATCACGACGAGGTGTTAAGAAGGCACGCTCGTCTAGGCTGGCCTGACCGAGGTCCCCTGCCCTGCCCGCGCCCGGCCCCCAGAGATGGTCTGATTTTGGACAGCTCGCCACGGGGCCACTCGATCGTCCGTCTCGGGAGGTGCTGGGGGTGCGAGACATGCGGAGTCAGGAGGGCACTCAGGTCCCGTCTGGTCTCACACCCGTGGCCTGGGGTCCCTAGGGTAGCGGCCTTGTCCCACCCCTCCCATAGGCTGTGGGCGTTTCGGGGTGGTGAGGCGGGTGGGTCGTCGGAGGCTCATGGAAGCGGTGGGATGGAGGCGACTGTCTTCTGCCGCACGCGCGGCGCGTGTGGTCGTCGCAAGGCTCCGCTCTCGACCCAGCCGTGCGCTCCCTTGTCGCGGAAGGCGCGGACTGTGGCTCGATTGCCCCGTGTGGCTTTGGACAAGCTTAGGGCGGGCAAGGAGCCCCAGTCTGGCAAGTTTGGGGGGCTACCTCCTGGTGCTGGTCCCCCGCGGGGTGCGTGGGGCTCCCCAGGGGGTTCCTGGGCGGCCCCTTGGGGGTCTCCTGAAGGGGGGCTCTGACCCCCGAAGGCGGTCAAAATGGGACATCGCCCCCCGCCCCCCCTCGGTGTACCGTGGCCCCCTTGGTGCATCGGTGGGGGGGCAGTGAGTGTCCCCTTTCAGGCTTTTTGGGGGTCTGCCGCGGCCCTCTCGTCTTCCCAGGGCCCTCTTGGGCCGTCCTGGGGGGTCGGCGGAGGCGTTTGGTTTGAACCTCCAGCTCCTTGTGCGGCCTGCCAAGGGTACTTCCCCGCGGAGCAGGTAGGCGAGCTTTGTTTTGCGGAACTCGTTCTTGTAGGACTTCGAGGACTTGGAGGATGAGGCTGTCCTCCTGTTTTTTTTCGCAACCGTGCGCGGAGCACACGTCCGCACCCACGACGGCCTCGCGGGCTGTGCCTCTGGGCCGCGGCCCCGTAGGTACCTCGCGCGGAGCGCATCCGTGCGGCCGCGTATCCACGGGACCGAGCCTACGGGATCCAGAACTTGAGGGCGTGGATGTGGACATGTTCGCTGCTCGTGGCATCGTGCTCTCCCTCTTTGTGGTCTCCTCGTCCTCATGGCTTATAAGTCAACACGGATAGTAAAGATGAGCGGCCTTCCAGGATTCTTTTTGCAGCCTTCCCCTTCGGCCCATCCTTGGCTGCTTTTGCTGGCCGCGCCCCGATCGAAAAAGTGTCGGCATGGCCTTCCAAGGCCCTTGCATCCTTGTCGCGCATCTTTATTCTACGCGTTGACTCTATGCTGGCTGCTCGTGGCGTCATGCTATCCTTTTTCCGTTCTTCTCGTCCTCTGGCTCCTATTCCTCATCGCCCTTCAGCCCCCCTCGCTGGTCCCGGCCGTGTGCCTTCCCGCGAGGGCAGGGGCAGCAGGAGGGGTGCCCCTCCTTCGGGGGAGGGCAAAAGACTAGGACGACGGCGAGAAATACGACGACGATGATGACGACGACAAGGAGGAGGAGGAGGAGGAGGAGGAGGAGGAGGAGGAGGAGGAGGAGGAGGAGGAGGAGGAGGAGGAGGAGGAGGAGGAGGAGGAGGAGGAGGAGAAGGAGGAGGGGGAGACGGAGGAGGAGGAGGAGGAGGAGGAGGAGGAGGAGGAGGAGAGGAGGAGGAGGAGGAGGAGGAGGAAAAGGAGGACGAGGAGGAGGATGAGGATGAGGATGAGGAGGAGGAGGAGGAGGAGGAGGAGGAGGAGGAGGAGGAGGAGGAGGAGGAGGAGAGGAGGAGGTGGAGTGGAGTTGGAGGAGGAGAGGAGGAGGAAGAGGAGGAGAAGAGGAGGAGGAGGAGGAGGAAGAGGAGGAGGAGAGGAGGAGGAGGAGGAGGAGGAGGAGGAAGGAGGGAGACGGAGGAGGAGGACGAAGACGAGAGGACGCGCATGCCCCCTTGCCTCCAGGTACAACCCCGGGCCGCTGACGGCGTATCTGGAGGCCATAGGCGTGCCGTATCACAGGCCCTGCCCCCCCTGTCATCAGGCGAGATTCCCCTCTTCCTCGTCCTCCTCCTCCTCCTCCTCCGCCTCCTCCCTCCTCCTCCTCCTCCTCCCTCCTCCTCCTCCTCCCCTCCTCCTCCTCCTCCTCCCCTCCTCGCTGTCTCCTTTTCTGTTTTGTCCCTCATCACCACCTCCAACGTCTACCTCCAGCTTCTCACTCCTTCCCTCCTCTTCCCTCCATCTCTCTCGCCCTCCCTCCGTCCCGTCCTCGTCCTCCTCGTCCGCCTCGTCCTCCTCGTCCTCTTTGCCCTCCTTGCCCCCGTCCTCGCTCTCATCGTAGTCGTTGAGGTCGTCGTTTTCATCGTGGTTCTCCTCCTCCTATTCCCCAGCCTCCCCCATTCTCGCTCCTCCCTCTCCTACCTCCGTACCTCCTTCCTCTCTCCTTTGCTCTTTCCTACCTCCTCTTAATCCCCGTCCTCGTCGTCGGCCTCCTCCTCCTCCTCCTCTTCCTCCTCCTCCTCTTCCGCCGCCTCCTCCTCCCCGTCCCAGTCCTCTCCTCCTCTCCCTTCTCCCCCTATCCTCTGCCCTTACCCCCCTGCGTTCCCCCCTCTCTCCTCCCTCTCCTCCAGCCTCCCCTGCAAACAAAAAACATATTTTGGCTCAAGTTCATCGCAGCAGGCCCCGCCGCCGTCGTTCCGATGCCTGGTACGCTTGACGCCCGCCGCGCGCGCGTGTCGCAGGACGCCCCCCGCGGCGCGCTCATCGCGACGGATGTGGCGGCATTGCTCGCGGGCGAACGCAGCGAGGCGCAGCGTTTTGCGGGCGCCGCCGAGGGCCTCTTGCGGGCTGCCCTTGCTGTCCTAGCGGCGCCGCCCGCCCCCCCCCGCGCCTCCCACGGTGGCGACCCCGCCCGCGGCTGCCTCTCGGCGGTGGCGGCGCCGCCCGCGTGGGCGAGGCGGAAGTGCAGGAGCGGGTGCGGCGAAGCAGGCGACGGCGACGGCGGTGGAGGAGGTCGGGGCTGCTGGAGCGGCAGCGGCAGCGGGGGCCGATGACGTGGCCCAGCAGCTGCCGCCCGACGAGTGGGCTGACGAGCTGCCAGTAGCGCTGCGCGTGCCCGCGACGGGCGGCACGGGCCGAGGCGGTTGCAAGGACAAAAACTCGGCCAAGGAAGGCGCATGCAAGGACAATTTCACGGTCTCTCCGTCGTGGAGCTCCGCTCGTTCGCCTTCCTCGCGAGAGAGTCGGCTGCCCGTGTGCGCCATGCCGCACGACCGCGAGCAGATCGTCCGCATGTGCGAGTCGTTGCAGGCCTTCGGCGCGGCGATGCACGACGGCCACGGCGGCGGCGGCACCGGCTTTGGGGCGGCAGGGAGGGGTCGCAATGGGAGACGGTGAGGGCCCAGCCGTCTCGCGGTTGGCCCGCCGTCCTTTCCCCCTCCCTGCACATGGTGGTGCTCTTCGGCATGTGGAAGTCCGCGGGCACTGTCGGGCACCTGGTTCGCGCGCGCGCGTCCAGGTCCCCGCGCGCGCGTGCACATCTCGCGCTGAGGCCGCTTGCAGGCCCGTGGGGCCAGTCGGGCCGCCCCGTCTGCGCAGGTTCGGGTTAGTCTTCGGATATGACCCGTCCCCTGCCGTGCGCGGCCTCCAATGCAAAAGGCCTTCAGGCGCGCGCGGGCGTGCGCCCGAACGGCAGAGACTCTACAGAGGAGGTGGTCAATCATAATTATGATGTCGATGGTGGCGATGACGACGTCGATGATGGCGGCAACGATGACCACGCTGCTGCTGTTGATGAGACCGATGACGACGATATGGCTGCTGCTGACGGCGGTAGCGGTGGCGGTGGTGATGGTGATTGTGATGAGAACGATGAGGATGATGATGGTAGTGGTGATGGTGATGCTGATGAGTAAGATGACGGTGGCGATGAGGAGGACGATGGCCAAGACCATGACGATGACGAGAACGATGGCGATGATAATTGTGCTGATGATCATGATGCCGGTGGCAATGATGGTGACGATGATGGTGATGATGCTGATGATTATGGCTGTCGGTTGCGTGTTGTAGTACTATTGGGGAGGAAGAAGACCAGCACGTTGTTGGGCTCTGACGGGGGGCTGCAACCGCGCGGTGCAGCCGCAACGTCTGCCCGATGGTCCGCCATCCTTGTCGCATCTGCACCCCGCTGCGCGGGTGTGACGGCCGCTGGTGACTGGAGAGCGGCTCCAGCCGGACAGTGCGGGCCCGAGGACTGCGCCAGGCACAGCGACTACAGAGATGATGACCCACTTCACGTCATCACCCAGGAAAGGAGGGGCTCCGGCACGTGCGAGGTGACCGCGAGTGCCGCCAACCTCCGCGATGAAGCGCGCCGCGGTGAAGCAGGCCACAATGAGGCCCTCTGTGATGAAGCACTCCGTGACAGAGCACTCCCCGATGAACTGCTCTGCAATGAAGCGCACTCCCCGATGAAGCGCAGGTTGGCGAAGCACACCCCTGCGGAGCACGCGACGGTGAGGCCCGCCAAGAGAAGCGCGCCACGATGATGCGCTCCACGACGAAGCACTTGAAGAAACATCTCCGACGAACCACTCCACGGTGCGATGCTCCACGATAAAGCACGCCCCGACGAAGCGCTTGACGCGCCAACCTTTGAGCAATATATCGGTGGGGAACGTGATGTTGCCCGTGGAAGACGCGCCGATGCAAGATTGATGGCCGGACCCGCGTATGCGTTAGCACTCGAAGAAGCATTCCATAATGCATCACTCCCCGAAAGAACGCGACGCAATGCAACGCGTGCCGGTGATGCTTACCAATATCAAGCACGCCACAATGAAACGCGCCTCCGTGACGCATGCTTTCCCTGGGGACGCACGCCGCAATAAAGCCCCCGTGAAACCCTCGCCGATGAAACGCGCCTCCGAAGCAATCCCTGAGGAAGCACGCCTCAATAGAACACGCCACCCCGATGAACCGCCCGATGACGCTCTCCGCGACTGCGCGCGCCTCCGTGAAGAACGCCTCCGTGGAGCACGCCTCCGTAAACCGCGCCGCGATGAAGCGCGCCTCTGCTGAAAGACGCCAGAATGAAGAGGCCTTCGACGAAGCCCTCCGCGATGTGGCACTCCACGATGAAACGCGCCTCCCCGAGGAAGCACGCCTTCGCGAAGCACGCCGCGATAGAGCACGCCGCGGTGTAGCGCGCCCCGACGAAGCACCCCATGTCGTGGCACTCCCCGACGAAGCATTCCACTGCGAAGCACGCCGCGATGACGCACGCCACGATGAAACACTCCACGATGAAGCACTCGAAGAGGCACGCCCCGACGAAGCCCCCCTCGGAAATGAACGCACCTTGCAAGATACAGGCGGGCCGCGCAAACCTGGTTCGTACACTTTAGAGAACAGCAGAGCCCTTGAGATGACCAGGTCGCGGTTGAGAGCGAGACGTGCGGGTCAGGATACGTGCGCTAGTCATGCAGCAAGGCGGTATAGGCCAAGCCCACTGTTGACATCCATGCCACTGGGCACGCCGAAAGTACGCGAAGCCTGGGCTATGACAGATGGCGGAGACGCCAGCAAGAAGGAACCAAGTGTACAGGAATATGCCGGGTAACGCCGCGAGTTTGTCGGGGTAGGACGAGATGGAATGCCCCACCATGATGCGCGCCCCGAAGGGCCGCAACCCTTTGGCACTTAACGCTGGCATTCAATTTTGAGAGCGCGAGAGTGCGCAACAGGACACCGCGAGGTAGATCATACGACGTTGCAGACTTCGGCCGACGGCGAGCGAGGCGCGGACCCAGCAGAGGTGGCTTCTCACATTCAATAGCGCGACGCGCAAAAGCGGCACACCACCTGGGTGGGAAACGCGAGAGTGGACAAGAACAGGAGCAGGAACCGCACCTCCGCCGTTGCAGAAACGCCAGTATCGACGGTGGATAACGATGATTATCGGTGGCGCATTGTAGGAATACCGGGGATGAAAACACCAGCACGTTTTTGGACTCTAGCGGGGAGCCGCAGACGCGCGGTGCAGCCGCAACGGTTGCCCGTTGTGTTTGCACCCCGCCGTGCGGGTGTTACGGCCGCCGGTGACTGGAGAGCGACTCGGCCAGGCAGTACGGGCCCGAGGACTGCACGAGGCACAGCGGCTACAGAGATGATGCTGATGTTGTTGGTGGTGATGCTGCTGATGATGATGACGATGACCATGCCGCTGAAGATGGCGACGGCGATGACGACGATGATTATGATAATGTGGGTCATGCTGATGATGATGCGGATCATGGTGATGATGGCGATGGCGGTGGTGATGAAGGTGATGACGACGGCGATGGTGATGATGCTGATGATGGTGATGCTAGTGATTATGCTGATGGGGGTGATGATGACGATGCTGATGCTGGTGACGGTGATGATGATGCTGATGATGATGCTGCTGCTGATGATGATGATGATGCTGGGTGGTGGTGGTGGTGGTGGTGGTGGTAATCGTGGCGCTGATTCTGCTGCTGATGGTGCTTACGAGGAGGAGGATGAGGATGAGGGTGAAGATGAGGATTAGGAGGAGGAGGAGGAGGAGGAGGAGGAGGAGGAGGAAAAGGATGATGAAGAGGAGGAGGAGGAGGGAGGAGGAGGAGGAGGAGGAGGAGGAGGAGGAGGAGGAGGAGGAGGAGGAGGAGCAGGAGCAGGAGCAGGAGCAGGAGCAGGAGCAGGAGCAGGAGCAGGAGGGAGGAGGCGTTGGAGCTGGAGTGTCTGGAGGAGGGAAAAGGTGCGGCGGTGAGGGAGGATAGGGAGGAGGAGGAGGGGAAGGAACAAGAGGAGCAGGGGGAGGAAGGGGAGGGGAAAGGGAGGATGAGGCGGGAGCGGAGGACGAGTAGGGGGAGGAGGGGGAGGGATGAGCAGAAGGGCCTCCCAGGAGGTTGGAGTAGGGGGAGGAGGGGGAGGGATGAGCAGAAGGGCCTCCCAAGGTTGGAAAAACCCATCATCGAGATGGCCAAGGCGCGGCCCGCAAGTTGTCCTGTCATATTTTCGGCCTTCCCCTCCATTTCCTCCTCCTTCCCCCCCTCCTCCTCCTCCTCCTCCTCCTCCTCCTCCTCCTCCTCCTCCTCCTCCTCCTCCTCCTCCTCACCCTCATCCTGATCATCACCTTCATCCTCATCCTCATTCTCGTCCTCATCCCTCCTACGGTCGTCTCCTTCTCCTCCTCCCCTTTCCCCCTTCCGTTCTTTTCGTCCAGCTCATCTTCTTTCGCCGACCCGCGCTCCGCGTTGCGCGGAGGGGGAAGAGGAGGTGGAGGCGGATGGAGGAAGAGCAAGCGACTGTGGCGGGGGAGGGGAGAAGGAACGTACCATTGTATTGCGTCGTTGGTCTCGGCTGCGAGGGAAGAGGCGGTCTTGCGGCTGACCTGGTATTTTGTCCCAGCGTCCCATTGTCTCACATTCTCCCCAGCCCCGACAGCCTTGACTCCTGCGTCGTCGCCGCCCCCCAGGTGCACATGGACCCCAAGCGCCCGTCCATTTGCGCCTTCTGCTCTCGCATGAAGCGAGGCCTCCGTATCTGCACGTTGCATCATGTTTATTTGTCGTCTCATGCTGGTCGTCCTCTCGAGTCTATCACCAGCACCTCGTCTCAGTGAGGTAACCACTCGGAGGAGTGGTCTAAGACGGCCGCGGCATTTGCCGAGGTGCCGTTCGGAGGAGCGCCTTTTCGAGGCCAGTGAGTGTCTCCCGATGCTCTCGACAAGAAGCGGCTTGGTATTACCCTGGGGGGGGGGAGGGCAGGTTGAGGTGTGTGCCCAGAGGGGCGCAACGCCTCGGCGAATTCCCCCTGCTCCTTCCCTCTGTACCTGCCCTCCTCCTCGACCTTCTTCCCCTCCGCGTCTTCGCCTTTCCTCTGTCTCCGTTGTCCTCCCCCTCCTCCCCCTCCTTCCCCTCCTCCCCTCCCCCTTCCCCTTCCTCCTCCTCCTCCTCCTCCTCCTCCTCCTCCTCCTCCTTCTCTTCCTCCTCCTCCTCCTCCTCTTTCGTTCTCCTCCTCCTCCTCCTCCTCCTCCTCCTCCTCCTCCTCCTCCTCCTCCTCCTCCTCCCCCCTGACTCGTCCGCAGGGGGGCACAGGCTCGAGCCGGTTTCGCTTCCCTCGTTGCGCGCATGCCCACTGCTTGTGACACCAACGTGCGTGGTCTCTCGAGCGCCGATGTTTGGCTTTTTGCACTCCACACAAGGGAGCGCCAGGGGACATTCGCGGTGTTATCTGCCCCGACCAGGGGGCGATGAGGGGCAGTTGATCGACGCGGCGGTGCGCAAGGCTGCAAGGTGTGGAGCTGACCCGCAGGGGTGCGGGTTGGGGATTGGGAGAGAGGCAGGGGAAGCGAGGGGGCGGGGGTGGGGGATGGGAGCAGGAACAGGAACAGGCCATCCCGCGCAGTGGTCCAGGGACTAAGCAGGACGAGCTCGAGACCGCAACTCGGCCTGATCTCTAAGGGCTTTGGCCATAAGCCAGCCATAAGCCAGCCTCCATAAGTGCTCTAGTCTGTGCGGCTCGATCTCCTGAGGGTCTGATTTCGCCAGCTCGCGCATGGATGCACGAGCGTAGAGACCACAAGCTTGACAGCACCAGACGTTGTGGGCTCGTTGGGGCCGCATCGCGAGAGGAGGGGAGAGGGCAGGAACCACCGTGAGGTGAGGTGAGGCGAGGAGAGGAGGGGAGGGGCGTGTATCGAAGAACCCCCCTGGCAAGGCATGCTGTACTCGTGCATGCGCGAGCACGGCTACAATGTCCTGGCGCTCGGCCTTGCCTCCTCTCTCCCATCCACGCAGCAAGGTCCTCCTTGAACTCGTCTTCTGCACTCCTCATTCTCCGCCTCTTACTATCCATAAGGGCTTCGCCCCCTGCCGCCGGTCCCCTCTTCTATCATAATGGGATATATCAGGGTCGCGTCGGTGCGTGTCGGCGCTGCCTTGGCGCATCAGGGAACATCATGCGGGGGCGGATAGGAATCATCAGCGCATATTGAGACGTTGGTGTTATCCTAGTGGCTTTCGGCCCGCCACCGTGCCTGGGGTTTGGGTCTGCGGCCTCTTGTATATGCGTTGGGGTGTCGAGGGGAGCCTCTCGGGGGCCTCTTGGAGGCGGTTTGGGCGCCTCTTGGGGGCCTCTTGGGGCCTCGTGGGGTAGACACTCGGGCTGTATGCTTTTTAATTGTCGTGGGCGCCAGTCCCATTGCCGCGGGTCCCCGCGCAACCTGCGGCTCGTGGCCACTCCTGGCCAGCCGTTTGGCCGCCTTAACCGTTTCCCCGAAGGCTTTGATTCCTGGGGCCTTCCTGGTGCCTTTCTTTTGTCCAGCTTCGATTGTCCCTTGTGTCCTCGAAGCCGCAGTTTCATCACCTTCGAGATCTCTAGCTGGCAACTCCACTTCAATGGAAGACCCAGTTCCTGGGTGCGTCGTCTGAGCTCCTTGCTCACCTCTGGGCCACTGGCGGGTCCAACTGACTTTTTGGAAATGCGGAACCCTTTACTGCGCATGCTGCTGGTGAGTTGTGGCCTGTTTCACCGCTCCAGTTGCCGCGCACTTCCCCTCGTCGTGAAAAAAAGAAATCACGGCGGGCGGTTTTGGGGCAGTGTTCGATTTCGGGGGGCATTCACGGGCCCCAGGATCGTCAAACAAGGAGTCAGGGTGAGAAGCTTGTCCCGGGGACCTGGGAACTGGTCCAGACCTCCCGGGGCCCACGTGGCGAAGAAATAGCGACGTCGGAGTGGTAAGGCTTCCGGCTTCGCACAGAGCCCGGTCGGCCTAAGCAGGCCTCCCGAGTAGTCTAGGGAGGTCTCAACACCTCATTTCTGGGGCGCGGAGCGCCCCATTGGAGTCGCCTGAGGCGGCGCCAGGGTGTTGGGACCGCTCAGGGCTGCTTGGGGGTACTGCTGCTGTCTGTGCGCGCCCTGAGATTCTGGCGTTGCACTTTTTCCACCTGGCGCCTTAGCCTAGTTTCGGGTCCTGGGACCATTACAAGTCGACTCGGCTCGAAGAATGCCGCACAGGATGGGATCTAGGTTTCTCGTTTCTCTTTTTCCTCTTCCTCCCTTCCCTCCCTCCCTCTCATCGCGGACGACAGCAGCCGTCTGTCTTGCGAGCGTGGCTGAAATTCGGGGCGGAAAAAACGAAAGCGCGCCACTGGATCACCCTGTAGTTGAAAAGGGGGGG